CCAGGCATTTAACTTCACAACGTGTTCAAGCTATCCTGCAACTTCCATTGCCCGCAGCACACCAGACACTTCATGCCTTTTTGGGACTCATCACGTACTGCAGGTCCTGGATACCCGATGCCTCGAAGCTCATGCAGCCACTCTATGATACCCTCAGGAGTGAACCCTTCCATCTCTCTGAAGATGCTATTGCCTGTTTTCAGAGTCTGAAGAGAGCTATCGCATCAGCACCCGCCTTGGACCTACCAAACTACCAGTTGCCTTTCAATCTGTTTGTTTCTGAAAAGTCTGGACATGCTTCCGGAGTCCTTACCCAAAAACATGGTTCAAGACAGCGGCCTATTGGCTATTTCTCCTGCATGCTTGACCCTGTTGCTAGGGGTAGTCCCTCCTGCCTCAGAGCGGTGTTTGCTGCCAGTGCCCTCTTGGACAAGACTAATAACTTTGTTCTTGGTCACCACCTCACAGTGTTGGCCCCTCATGATATTACTGCAATCCTTCAACAAGTACAGCCTAAGCACCTCTCTTCTCAACGTCACCTTCGCCTACAAACATCCTTACTGTTACCTGACAATGTGAAACTTCAGCGGTGTCTCTCCCTGAATCCAGCCACTCTTCTGCCACTTCCCAAGGGGGGAATTGTGCAGTATTGGTATAGCTTGGACATCAACCCGGAGGTTCGAGCAGATTTGCAGTTGCCTGCCCTTGCACCCCCACATGATGAACAATCAGAGAACTTACTCCACTGCACCCTGTGGTTTAAGGGCAGTCCAGGCCCTGATATGAATTATGAGGAAGAACTGTTCCAACTCAAGGAAATTCAAATCACTCTGACTGACTTGTTATGGGATTCCACAGGTAATATGATCATCTTAGTTCATCTCCCAGAGAATGTGACACACCTCTACCATCATTGGGAAACGGCTGTCCCATACATATCTCTCACTAAATCCCCTGACATTTCATGGAAAGACTTAGGCCCGATGGCCAAGGCCTGGACTCAAGCAACCCAGGATCAACTGACCTCTATGGGGATCCACAAAAAGACTGTTAACTACTGCACAGCAGGGTATCCTAGGTACCACACAGAAGTCTGTGAGGACTTACTCACCATAGACTGTGACCTTGATATTGCTCATGATTGTTTTGAACAAATGAAAATGGAAACTACCCACTTGCCGACTGTGTATGAAGCTGCGTTACTCAACCCAGACCAAACACTGTTTGTGGACGGCTCTAGATTTGCTGATGAGCAGGGACAATATCACACTGGGTATGCAGTCACCACAGGATGTCAAGTGTTACAAGCAGCTGCCCTCCAGCCAACCAAGTCAGCCCAAGAAGCCGAGCTAACAGCCCTAACCGTGGCCTGCAAATTGTCTGAAGGCCTACGTGTCAATATCTATACAGACTCAAGGTATTCCTTAGGAGTGGCCCATGACTTTGGACTTATTTGGAAAACTAGAGGATTTCTCACAGCCACCGGTACCCCAGTGAAACATGGGGCAGCCATCGCAGAACTGATGGACGCTTTGGAACTTCCAGCAGAGGTGGCGGTATTAAAAGTAAAAGCCCACAGAAGGCTAGACTCAGAAGAAGCATGGGGCAACCACTTAGCTGATCAGGCTGCCAAGGAAGCAGCACGATAAGGATGGGAAGTGGACAGAAGAGTGGCCACAGACACAGTACCCATCTACACTATGCAGACATTGCCTACAGATCTTAGGCTTCTAAAGGAACAACAAGCAGCTGCTACTCCCCAGGAGAAACAAAGTTGGAAGAACAAAGGAGCTGTTCTCCGTGATGATGTTTACACTATCAATCTCAAGTTTTGCCTACCCAGAAATATGTATCCAGCTGTAGTCCAATGGGCCCATGGGCCAGCCCACCTTTCAAAACATCTGATGAACTCATTGATTGATAAGTATTTCGAAGCACCAGGCATCACTACCTTAACACAGAATTACTGCAGATCTTGCACAATATGCGCTAAATGTAACCCTGGGAAGATCATTAAGACCGCACCTAATCACCTGGCCAAGCCGCAATACCCCTTTCAGAGGATACAGATTGACCATATTCCAATGCCAAAGAGTGGACGTTATGAATACGCACTGGTCATAGTGGACATGTTTTCAGGGTGGCCAGAGGCCTTCCCAGTGGCTAATCTCACTGCAAGGACTACGGCCAAGTACCTTTTGACGGAAATTGTCTGCCGATATGGAGTTCCAGAAGTGATTGAAAGTGACCAAGGGACCTCCTTCACTGCCTCATTGACACGGGAAGCCTGGTCAGCACTGGGGGTGACCCTTGCATTCCACACACCATATCATCCACAGAGTAGTGGCAAGGTAGAGCGCATGAATGGCACTTTAAAAGCCAGAATGCTTAAAATGTCGCAGGAAACCAACATGCCCTGGCCCGAGAGTCTCCCATTAGCATTGTTTAGCGTGAGGTACACTCCTAGGGGAAAATATAGCTTATCACCTTATGAGATTTTGTTTGGTACAGCACCCAGGCTAGGTTGTTACTTCCCTCAACAGCTTCAGATCCAGTCAGATGCTATGGTAGATTATGTGACTGCCCTCTCACATGCCTTGACCAAAATACATGCCCAAGTGTTTTCTTCTATTCCAGATCCTGAGTCGAATACAGGTACACACAAGCTGCTCCCTGGTGATTGGGTTATGGTCAAGAAATTTCTCAGGAAACACACCCTAGAGCCAAGGTTTGATGGCCCTTATCAAGTGCTCCTGATCACAGCAACGTCAGTTAAACTAGCCGGAAAGAGTTCTTGGATACACGCCTCGCATTGCAAGAAAGTGCCTACTCCAGAAGAGGCTACTCCTACTGAAATATGAATTTGTTGTGTGTTTTGTGTTTTCTTACGCTGCTACACTTTGCCTGGGTTCAACAAGTGGCCATAACCAAAGATAATCATGTTTATACTTTCTGGTACAATTCTTCTAACACAGATGTAGCCACATACACTTTTGACTACTGTGACATAGTTGTTTGCACCTTCCCACAAGCACAATATACAGCCATATACAAAGACATACCTAACAAAAAGGATCCATACATTTGTGTGACTGGAGGAGTTTGGGGGCATCATTGTAGTTCATGGAAAGCCGCCGGGTGGAACACGGGTAGACCATGGGGCTACAGACCCCAGAGTGCATTAGACAGAATTGACAAAGATGGAAAACCTCTACTCTCCAGAATGACCTTAAGCAAACCTATTGGGTCAACTCCCATTAAACTTACCTTGAATATAGAGCACCCCAGCCCGAAAGATGCAGGGGAATATGTAATGGGAATGTACTGGAAGGGAGGCGGTTCATATAATAGACTGGGGACATTTTATCTACAGGACATGCTCACCTCACCAGACTGGGTAGGAACCACTCACATGACCGTTAATCCGCTGAAACCACATATTAAGACTCTACATGACATGGTAGCTATAGCCAACCCCACCTTTGAAGACACTATGGCAGTAGAGACTGGGTTCTCAGACACCAATTTGTGGCTAGAGTGGATGAGATACAACGCTAACTCGCACAATAAGACTAATTGCTATGTATGTGGAGGAGCCAGGCCCCATCTGGGTACGGTACCTCTAAGTTTACCTCCTGAAGTAGAATTATGTGTTTTAAGTCTTTATGCACAATCCACCACAAATTCCTCAACATGTGAATCGTGGAAAAAGGTTTACCCAATCACTCATGGATACGTTAGGCCACCCGATGGAGTCACAGTATATCCAGGTAATTACACGTGTTACTCAATACCTAAGAATACTGGTGCGTATCTGGGCAAATTCCCATCTGGATATTGCTCAACCTACCATAGCCCGCCTGTATCACTGCTAATGAATCACGCAAAGACAGTTGGAGACATATATTGGTATATATATTGGCGATAGACAGTTGCGGTCCCAACTGGTAGGGCAATGGTGGGGAGAGTGTGCCTTAACCAAAGCTATAATGCCCATCCACATCATTCCATTCGGTAGCCATAACACACTAGACCACACACACGCACATCCTAGAACTAGACGTGAAGCCCCCATCCGAAGGAGCTTCGACCCCCATGTATATATTGATGCTATTGGTGTGCCAAGGGGGGTGCCTAGCGAATTCAAAGCAAGGGATGAGGTGGCGGCAGGATTTGAATTCTTGATTCCAATGATAACTGCTAACAAGAATGTCAATTGGATTAATTACATCTATTATAATCAACAGCGCTTTGTTAACTACACTAGGGATGCCCTACAGGGCCTGGCAGAGCAATTACAAGCCACCACCCAAATGACATTTCAGAACAGAATGGCCCTAGATATGATTTTAGCCGAGAAAGGGGGTGTATGTAAGATCCTCCCTGAAACTATGACATGCTGCACATTCATTCCAGACAACACTGGGCCAAATGGTAAGGTAACTATGGCCATAGAGAAGCTAGATAGCCTCTCCGACGAGCTAAAAAAGAACTCAGGAGCCACTGACACTTGGGACAGATGGTTTGGGTGGATGAATGGTTGGCAAAGGACCCTATTCCAGGTAGGAACGGCTGTCCTCATAGTGATTATCATCTTCTTATTCCTAACCTGTTGTGTGCTCCCTTGTATACAAAAGTACTTACAGAAAGCAGTAGGGAAGACTATAGATGACATGACTCCTACTTTCCTACACCAAGACATCACAGACCTCGAGAGTGACACTCCACACACACCCCTCCAGTCACATCAGTTCAAACAGACAACTGCATTCCTGTAGGGACAGTGTAGGGAAAGCGTCTGTCTTTACGGGCAAGTCTCACGTGCGGAGATGTGGTGGGCTAGCTACTGCGGGTTACCCACGGAGTGAAGTGTTCGATGCTTGTTAAGACAGATGAACTGCAGGCAGCTAGGGATACACTAGGGACAGTGGCAGTTGTCATGGTAAATAGCCATTTTAGGGGGGACTGTTGTGGAAATAAGGTCTACACATATTTCCTAGTTAGTAAAATGTCTATTTACTCATTTCACAGAATACAGTATATAAGCTATACACGTATATTTTAATCAAGATGGCTGCTAGAAGCTTCTAACCCCTCCTCCCCCAATAACACCGACTAACTACCTCGTGCAGCAAGATGGCGCCGGGAAACCGTGAGAGACCCTCATGGTCCTGGTGACATCACCCTTAGTAGGCAGAGAATTAGGAAGACCACTTAACACCTAACCAATTATTGATGTATTATTCTATGTTATCTCTGACAATGCTTATGATGTAATTCTGCTTTAAAAGGGACCTACCGGCCCCTCTGAATAAACATTCCTCAAGTTATTCAACAACCTGGAACCTGTGTCTGGTGTGAATTACTTCAGGGAGCGTGCACGCATTGTTTCATTAATTTGGCCAGGGGCAGATACGCAAAGAAATAATCAATTCATTGATTGATTTTTCCATTTCAGTATACAACACCACAAACTACTCATGAACATATAGAATATAATTGCTCATATACACACAAATACAACAATACAAAGCAACTGCAGTAAAAATACCACAAGCGGAATACGGCAACCCTTGCACCTCAATTAAAAAAAAATAGGACCGGCACGCTACAGGACATTGCAATCTTATTTCGGCACAGTGCTGCTAAAAGGTTGCCTACCCCTGCTTTAGAATATACATTGATTAACAGATATAATTTGATCAGATTCAGTGGTGGATTTTCATGGTTCTACATACTATGCCTCTGATTTAGGCAATAAATGCAAGTACTAACCACTGTTAATAGTGCTTAAACATGGAATGATCAATAGAAGATATTGATTACCGTTTGTCACAAGCCCAATGGGAAGGGTTATTCTGGATTAATTATACGAGGCACAGTTAGTAAAGATATGTTTCCTAAGCAGAAATCCACGGAGACAACCATTACATCTTTAAAACGTAGTCTCCATTGGTAAATTCACACAATATATTAATAGTATTAGACTATAAACAAACTGTTAACCAACAGGAAGCATCAGGATCATTGTTAGCGTGGAATTCAAAAGATAATTTTAATGTGATAATCAAATCTCATCCATCAAATAGTTAATTATATTACCATGGCAACACATTTCATTAGGGTTTTACTTACATTTTCTTTTCTTGCACCATCACTACTGAAAAGTCTTTTACAGGTAAGCGTGTTTACTTTGACTAATTCTGCCCTTAATGGCAGCTATACAGTGCTTCCATCCTAGCCCATTTCCCTGCCTACTGACAAAATGGACTCACAGTTCAGAAATAGTGCCTGGAATCTGGACATTTACAGAGGTATTAACTAAAGTGTGAATTTCACACTTAAATTCACACTAGCCAGACTAGAAAGTCAGCTACACTTTGAGTTTGGCTTTAGAGATGAAATTCATTTGGAATTCTCAGTTTAGTAAATAACTCTGCTGGTTATTACGACGTGGAAAGGTCTATGTGAGACAATTTATATGCACAGACAGAAACTTGAGCTCTTTAGCAACAGACAACGCAAGTAGGTCACAGCATCCTTAAACACCAGTGGGGTTTGCACCCTTTCACTGCCAAAAGGCATTTAAACTGAAGCCACTTCATGAACCTCTGTGGTGGATTAAAGGACCACTCTAGGCACCCAGACCACTTCAGCTTAATGAAGTGGTCTGGGTGCCAGGTCCCTCTTGGATTAACCCTTTTTTTTATAAACATAGCAGCCTTTCAAAACGCGTCATTAAATCGCCGAACTCCGAACTCCAACCCGAACATACAGTGATATGTCTGTGTTCGGGTCCGGGGTCCAAAAAACCTAATGTTCGGTTATGGCTGTCAGATAGGTATACAAATCAAATTATTTGGCACATGGAGAAAAAGTCCCAGATGGAGGGAAAGCATGATTTAAAGACTGAAAGAGCAAAAATTCAGCCATGGAGAGACAGCATTACAGTACAGCAACAAGAGCTGGGCGAGCTGCGAATTCCATAGATACAGTAAAATCAATCAGTGGAAAGATTGACATAAAGTTAGATGAGGTTGACTGATTTCAAGCTCTCTCAATCAACAAATGAGCAGCTTTGAAAATCGTTGAAATTAAGATTCTCAAATCCCATTTAAGAAAATCTGGGGGGGAGTGGGATGGGGGGAAGAGGGAAATTCCCAGGAGTCTGCAGTCTACACTTTAGTTTCTATGGGAAAAAATAATTCCAAAATGTAAAATATAGCTAAAATAGGTGTACAACTGTGCCCTAGAACCACAGAGTTGGAATTAGTTTGAGGTGAAGTGATCCTTTAACAAAAGCAACAGGCCTCTATTCATACACAGCAAGGCCCTTGTGCTGGTCCATAAACTACATCAATAGATTTTACCTCCTCAATATGAGCCTCATTTTGACAGCAATGATGGTAAGTGCTAGGGGCAGCATGATATCAAGGGATAGTGAATACTTTATTTGCAATAAGTTAATGTTGTAGTATGTAGGAGGCATGACATGCACACTGACTTCTGTTGAAGGCCTGTAGAGAGAACACAGACTCTGGAATTGTTTCAATGTTAAACCCCCCCCCACCCTGCAGCTCAGCCGCGCGCTGATGCCGGGAGCCGGAATATGACGTCATATTCCGGCTCCCAGCTCGAGCAGACAGCCCGCGCGGCGAGAGGAAGCAGAGAGCAGAGAGCTCCCTCGCCGCGCGCTGAGCTGCAGAGAGGCGCCTGCCCCCACTGGACCCCAGGGACAAGTCCACCAGCACTCCAGGTAGGAGGCTGGGTGGACATTTAAAAAAAAAAATTAAAATATAATAATTTGTGTGTGTCTGTGAGTATGTGTCAGTGTGTGTGTGAGTATGTGTCAGTGTGTGTGTGTGTGTCAGTGAGTGTGTGTGTGTGTGTCAGTGTGTGTGAGTGTGTGTCTGTGAGTGTGTGAGTATGTGTGTCAGTGTGTGTGTGAGTGTGTGAGTGTGTGTCTGTGAGTGTGTGTGTCAGTGAGTGTGTGAGTATGTGTGTGTGTGTGTCAGTGTGTGTCTGTGAGTGTGTGAGTATGTGTCTGAGTGTGTGAGTATGTGTCTGTGAGTGTGTGTGTCAGTGAGTGTGTGAGTATGTGTCAGTGTGTGTCTGTGAGTGTGTGAGTATGTGTGTGTGAGTGTGTGTCTGTGTGTGTCTGTGAGTGTGTGAGTATGTGTCTGTGAGTGTGTGTGTCAGTGAGTGTGTGTGTGTGTGTCTGTGAGTATGTGTGTGTCAGTGTGTGTGTGTGTGTGTCTGTGAGTGTGTGTGTGTGTGTGTTTCTGTGAGTGTGTGTGTCTGTGAATATATATATACACACACACACACACACGCGGCGTGTGTTTGTGCTTTAGGGTGCACACCCTAATGCAATAGGCTGCGCACGCCTATGGTTAAAAGGTTAGCCTATGCACCACGGAAATTTGATTTGAAGTGGTCAAGATGTCAAATGTAGAGCGAGAACTAGTACAAGAATGGTCAAACTGTTGAGCCCCATCTTTCAAACTCATATGATGCTATTATTTGCCCATTGCTGCAGTGTTGTATTTATGTGTTTGAATGTAAGCATGTTTGCCCTTTTGTGTGTAGTGTTGGTGTGAATAAAGGTGTGCTTGTAAAATAGTACAAGGGTAATTGTATGTAATGTTTGCGTTTGAATGCAGGGGTGTGTTTGTATGTAGTGTTGGCACTACTGTTGCTGCTAGCTGAGGCAAATGGAATACAAAATTAAACTGTGCACTCAAACTCCCATTACTCCTTGGTGGCAGCAATGATTATAGTACATATCAACCCCAATGTGTACTATAGTCATTGCTGCTGGCCAGGGGCAATGGGAGTTTGAGTGCAGGGTTTAATTTTGTTTGTATTTGCCTTTGTATCACACAGCCATGTTACAATACTGTAGCCCACCCCATGTGTTTCCTATTAAGGGTTAATAAGTGTGTAGGGAGTTTAGAAAATATCCGTCTGTCTCATTAGGGATTTTACCTTTTAGCTGAAAGATGCAAAGTGAATTGTTATTGTAAGACTCCTAAGAGGTTTTGCCTTGACGTGGCAGGTGAGCTTACAGTTTAATGACTGTTGGAGTGATACTAAGAAACCTCCAGTTATTTACAGTGTTGAGGCTAATGGTAGTGTGGGGCTGGAGCTGGCTCTCTCTTTGCTCCTCCTCACTCCCGTGCTGTCTCGTCTGTCTCCCACGCGGCTCCCTCTATATGTGGGAGGAAATTACCTGCTTTTACTTCTTCCCAGAATTACCCTTACTACAAGGGCCCAGGCACACTGTAAAAGGGTCACTCTTGATCAATGATCATCAGATGACTCTAAGTGCATGGGCCACCTAATGGTTCACTGTGCTTGTGGACCCTGGTGCAGCTGCACTGGCAACACCGCTGCCACTGCTTCAGCTGCATCATTGAAGCATCATTAGCTCAGAACAAGATATTCAGATGGCTAATGTAAATGTTGTGCACATTCATCATCTGACATCAACGAGCATAACATGTTGGTGCCAGAAAGCATATGACAGGATGATAACCATGTCCTACTCTTAGCCTGCTCTCCCTAAAGACCCCCTGGCAAAGGGGAATGACGTCAGCAATGGAGCCCTACATGTCATTGGTAACTGAATGGTCATGGGAGGAGGAGGGGCGCGACAAACACTGCCCCTGACCATAGGACCTAAGGAGGATAACAATGCACTTATATTTTGAGGAGGAGTGACTTAACACTGGGAGAGGTATGTAAAATGCTTCACATCTAGTGGCAAAGTTGACAAATGATGTGGAACTGGACTTTGTCCCTCTCCCTCCTTATATATAACTTTATCAGTATGTTTTCTAGGATAGAAAAAACAGAACTGAGCTTCCCATGGGGTCAAAATGTAATGCAATAGGATGCAAATGTTCACCCTGTGCTTTATTTTAGGTATTTTCTGATTGATTTGGATACATTTTGCTGTTAAGGATTTGTCTTTGAGTTTGCTTTAGTAAGGTAATTGGACTGCCTCCAATCTTAGGATCATGTAACATGTCACAAGCTATACACATATGTGCAGTTCTTGAGAGTAACCTTGAAAGCTAGAGCTCTCGAATATACTATATAAAGGAGCCTTGTGATATGAATAATATTACACTGACTGTATTTACAGGGATCCATGCTTGCATCACAAACCTTTTATACACACAATCTTAAATTAGATTGTGACTAACTTTGACTTACATCATATGTTCGAGGTCCAGCTATACTTTGTGAGCACTTAAATTAATTTTGCCCTCCTTGAGATATGCTTACTTTTTTCTGCAATTGTTCTGTAGCATATGAGCAATTTGATCATGTTTTAAGCACCAATTGGACTAGAAGAACCAATGAAAAGATGTGCTTGACTGGATCTTGTCATAAGTAATAATTTTGACTTATTTTCAAACATTCACATTAGGGAGCACTTGGGAAATAGTGAACATAATATCGTATCATTTGAGATTATCTCCAAAAAATAAAAATGAAACTGAATGTACAAAAACACTTAATTTTAACACCTAATTGACTGGCAGGAAATATTCACTGGCAAAAGCACCGAGGATAAATGGAAGGCCTTTAAACAAATTGTACATTTATCAATACATACCATTGAGAACAAATATAAAACAAGTAAATTAAAAACAATGTGGCTTAGTTCAATGGTCAGTCAAATGATAAACAATAAGAAAGCATTTAAAGCATTTAAATCAGTGGGGTCAATTGCATCCTATAACAAATATAAGCATCATAGGCGTGCGCAGCCTATTGCATTAGGGTATGCACCCTAAAGCACAAACACACGCCGCATGTATATGTATGTATACATATATACACACCCATACATACACTGCTGTGTGTGTGTGTGTGAGGGTGGTGTGTGTATAAGGGTGCTGTTAGTGTGTGATGTGTGTGAGGGTGCTGTTAGTGTGATGTGTGTGTCAGGGTGCTGGTAGTGTGCTATGTGGGTGAGGGTGCTGGTAGTGTGCTGTGTGTGAGGTTGTTTGTGTGTGTGTTTGTTAGGGTCATGTTAGTGTGCAGTGTGAGGGTGCTGTGTGTGTGTGAGGGTGTCATGTATTTGTGAGGGTGCTGTTTGTGTGTGTGTGTGGTTTTTTTTAGGGTGCTGTTAGTGTTCTGTGTGTGAGGGTGTTGTGTGTTTGTATAGGTGCTGTGTGTGTTTGTGAGGGTGCGGTTAGTGTACTGTGTGTGTGAGGGTGCTGTGTGTGTACTGTGTGTGTGAGGGTGCTGTGTGTGTGCTGTGTGTGTGTGGGTGCTGTATGTGTGTGTGTGCTGTATGTTTGGAGGGATTGTGGAGGTGGGGGCAGATTAGTAAATATCCCCACTCCCTTCTTACCTTATGTAGGGAGGGGGGATCCTTGCTGCCATGTGCCATCCCTGGTGGTCCAGTGGAGAGTGAACTCTAGCCTGCGGGGCTAGAGTTAACTCTCGCTCAGATCTAGCGAGAGGAACCTGCGGAACTGCTGTCTAGAGCTCCCCGGGTCCTCTCTTGCCTCCATCCATGCTGCTGTGGGCCTGTGAGGTAGATCTTTGATGGAGGCTTAAAGCAAAAAAATAATATACACTCTTGTGTGTGTGTGTGTATATGTATGTATGTATGTATGTATATATATATATATATATATATATATATATATATATATATATATATATACGCATGCACACACACACACTGACACACATACACAGACACACACATATATATATATATATATACGCGTGCACACATACAGTCACAGACACACATACACTCACAGACACACACACACATACACTCACACAGACACACACACATACATTCACAGACACACACACATACACTGACACACACACATACACTGACACATACACACAAATGATTGATTTTTTGTTAAAAAATGTCCACCCAGCCTCCCTATCTGGAGAGCTGGCGTGGACATGTTCCTGGGGTCCAGTGGGTCGGGTGCCTGTCTCCATATCAGACGTGGCGAGGGAGCTGTGTGCTCTCTGTTCCCTCTCGCTGTGCGGGCTGTCTACAGTAGCTGGGAGCCGGAATATGATGTAATATTCCAGCTCCCGGCATCAGCAAGCGGCGCGAGGGAGCAGAGAGGACACAGCTCCCTCGCAGTGTCTGATTTGGCCAGCCAGGGTCCATCACCTCTTGCCCCCCCATGACAGGGGGAACACCCAGCACACCCCGTGTGCACGCCTATGATAAGCATGCCAATAGGGCTTGCAAAAAGGCAGTTAGATAGGCTAAACTTGAAAATGAAAAGCTTCTGGCCAAAGACAGCAAGAACAACCCCAAAAAGTTATTTTTAAGTATGTTAATGCCAAAAATGGTTAGAGTTAAATTGTTGGTCCATTGGAAAGTAAGATGGATGAGTTATTTAAGGAGGGTCAGTACAAGGCAGAAATTCTAAATCATTATTTTTCTTTAGTACATATGAAAGAATAATATTTGGCTGTAGATTTTATAAACCATGTTTAAAAAGCCTTACTGCAAACTGGTGATTGATTAACATAGGATAAAATGCTTCAAAATTAAATAAAGTTAATGTTAACAAAGTCTCAGGGCCAGATGGTATTTATCCACACATACTTAGAGAACGTAGTGTAGAAATATGATTACCACAGTTTTTAATTTTTTAGGATTCTTTTCTCTCATGAATTGTACCAAAGGATTAGAGAAAAGCAAATGTGGTGCTTTAAAAAGGGTTCAGAAGCTCAACCAGGAAACCATAGGCCTGTGAGCTTAACATCTGTGGTTGGAAAATTATTTGAAGGGCTGCTAAGCGATCATATTCAAGAATTAATTTTGAATCAACATGGTTTTATGAAAGATAGGTCATTCCAAACTAACTTAAAGGACCACTATAGGCACCCAGACCACTTCAGCTTAATGAAGTGGTCTGGGTGCCAGGTCCAGCTAGGTTTAACCATTTTTTCTATAAGTTTCAGAGAAACTGCTATGTTTATATTAGGGTTAATCCAGCCTCTAGTGGCTGTCTCATTGACAGCCGCTAGAGGCGCTTGCGTGCTTCTCACTGTGATTTTCACAGTAAGAAGACGCCAGCATCCATAGGAAAGCATTGTGAATGCTTTCCTATGGACTGGCTGAATGCGCACGCAGCTCCTGCCGCGCATGCGCATTCAGCTGAAGAGGAGAAGAGGAGGCGGAGAGGAGGAGG